GCGCCTAATGGTAGGGGTGAGTGGGCAAGTCTCACCACCACTGTGACTGGCACAAGTGCTGAGAACGACCCCATTAGCTGCATCCATGTACCCCTTGTGCCTGGCCACAAGTTCCCAGTTGACTGTGGGTAGCAGCGCGGCTGGAAAAACCGCTCCCAGGCAGGACTTGAACCAGGTACCTCTCGTATCTCTATCATGGTCTTTGACCAACCCACTGTGCCTGCCTGGAATGCGCGAGAAGTCCATCAAAACTTCGACTCGGCAAACCTTAAACCAGCCACTGACTCACACTGCCATCTGGTGTTCACAAGGTGTTTGTTGCGCTGGAAACAGAGCGTCTCTGTAAGTTTGTTGTCCCTGGCGATGTTTTGGCCTGGAGAGCAATGTATATGTGATGCCCTTCATGCATATTTTCCTCAGCGTACTCAAGCTCAACAGGTGAGGGTTGAATTCCCAGAGACAATGTGTATTGAGCAGGGAGTTGTGCTTTCTCTCAGGTTTGCAGAGTGGAAGGTTTGCTGGACTTCTCGTGTGGCCTGGATGGCAGTTGTGAGTCAGTCAAGTGTCAAGTCAGATCAGCAGGAAAAGGGAACACTCCAGTGTGGTTAGAAACCAACTTCCTTAGAGACCTAATGGTGTGTGGATTTTACCATGAGTATGATGGGTGCATCACCCAACAATACAGAGAATATTTCCTGACTGCGTAGCATGAAGGAGTATGTCAGGGATATGGTCAACACAAAATGGAAATGGTATAATCCATTCACCCAAAGTCACTTCCCAAATAATATATAGATCAATAGTGTGTACTGCGTAGTGATGCAGGGTACATGTATGTGCAGATCCGGACAAGGTTTACCGTTATTCAAGCGGGTAATATCACCTGGGGCATGATCGATTGGGCGAATCCCAAGTAAGTGCGCTCAGAGTGAGCGTGATCGTTTGGCCGAATCCGGAATAGGTGTACTTAGAGTGTAATCCGACCACACCGGCCCCCACACTGGCCCCCACACCGGCCCCCACACCGGCCCCCACACCGGCCCCCACACCGGCCCCCACACTGGGAGTGGCTGGAGTGGAACTGGACTTTGGCATTTTTTGACAGATTTCACAGAATATTTGTAGGATATGCGTACATTATGCATACTACACCCTTCCGTGGTTCGATTGGGCCAGCGCTGCTCGAACTACACCGCCTGCTCGCACTCAATCTAGATTCGCCAATCAATGACACTCTTAGAAAACCCTGGGTAATGGATATCCGTGCTAGTGCTGCACTGGTTGTGCATGGCAATATTTCATTATCTTATCCGACATGACTGCTACCGTATTTATGCATAACAAGGACATAGATGTGGTTCATGGGGTTTTCTGTACGTCTCTAGATGAAGGAAACTTGACGAAACTGGACGAGGGCAGGCAGGCTAAAAGGAATGGCCAAAGTGGATAGGGAAAGTTGATGTAGTATACTAAAATGTACAGCACCAAAAATTATCATTCTGTCTAATGGCCACACTTAGATTGATCGCAGAGTAACAACGGTATCCTGATCTGTTTTCTGCACAGGGAATGACCTATACCTTATCGATCCTACTCTGTGAGGAGACAGTGTTGAGAACTGGCAGCACTGCGTGACCATGATGCTATAGACAGGGATCACAATGACTAGAGGTCTGCTGATACTTGATACAGATAAGTTATTACCTGTAGACCATTCCGCTGGCTTGTTCTGAAGTACGACAACTTTTCCGGATGAATCCTTCGACTTGAATCTTCTTAACAATGTTTCCCGGTGCTGTGGCGAGAAGGACAGCAAGAGAGAGAGACAGAGAGAGAGAGAGAGAGAGAGAGACAGAGACAGAGACAGAGAGAGAGAGAGACAGAGAGAGTGTGTGTGAGAGAGAGAGAGAGAGAGGAGAGTGAGAGAGAGAGGAGAGTGTGTGTGTGTGAGAAAGAGAGAGAGAGACACACACACACACGCACACAGAGACAGAGAGACAGAGAGAGACGGAGAGACAGAGAGAGAGACAGAGAGACAGAAAGACAGAGAGACAGAGAGACAGAGAGACAGAGAGACAGAGAGACAGAGAGACAGAGAGATAGAGAGATAGATAGATAGATAGAGAGAGAGAGAGAGAGAGAGAGAGAGAGAGAGAGAGAGAGAGAGAGAGAAAGAGAGAGAGAGAGGCCTTGCTGCTTCACTGAACTAGAACTGGTGAAAGATAACCACACATTTCAGGCGCGTCGGAAGGTATTTTAGTGTGGTACCGTCAGCCATCTGAAGAACAATTTACTCGCGGAGGAGTGGTGGCTGAGCCGAAAATTTTGGAATTTTAGATCCAAGATCAGTGTATTTTGTTGATTCACGGGGTATCTGGGGCAAAAAGTGGTACGGTCAATACCGTAGTGACCGTACCTTGTGCGACGCCCCTGCATTTTGAAAAGTTAGACCAAGTACTTGACATAACGGTTACTGATGGTGATATCTTACATCAATAGGCACTATATTCACTCTGTCATCCATTGGATCAAGCTGGGGGATGATAACGGAGAGTTTGAGAGGACCATCGGATCCTGTCGGTTTGCCCTGCACATAGACAATCACAAGATACAGGAATGAAAGCAACATTAAAATCAACAGCAACACCCACAACATAAGCAACAGGAGCAGCAACAGCAGAAGCTGCCACAACACTAGCAGCTGCAGCAGCATCAACAGCAACCATAGCCACAATAATAGCAGAAGCAGCAGCAGCAATATAAGCAGTATCTTCACCATCAGGACGACAAGCAGCAACAACAACAACAGCAGCAGCAGCATTATCATCCTCAGCAGCAGCAGCACCGGCAGTAGCACCAGAAACTGCAGCAGTAGAAAAAGCTGCAGCAGCGGTAGCAGCAGCAGCGGCAGCACCAGCAAATGAGTCAGATAAAAGTACCAATTTCCCGTCACTGAAAATTCTATCAAAATTCTATCAATGGAACACTGTTGTCAAGTACTTCTCCCCTCCTTCTCCCCCCCCCCCCCCCCCCCCCCCCGTGAATGCGTCCTCCATTCTATCCCCTCCCCCCCCCCCCCGCCCTCTCCCCCACATCCAATGCTCGCACCCTATGTCTTCACAGTGCCGTACACCACCACCGCTCACCCCCATCCCTGCTCACCCCCCCCCCCCCCCACACCCCTCCCACCACCGCATTGGCTCACCCCCGTCCCCCCCCCCCCTCTCCACCCTTGCTCACCCCCACCCCCACCTCTCCGCAGGAGCCATTGCAAGACAAACTCAGTCCACAGCAGCCATTACAAGATAAGCCTACTGTAAAACGACAAACTTTCGCGGCGGCTAAATTTAGCGTTTTAGCAAACTGGACCAGTTAGCGGCGATTAATTTTAGCGATTTTTACCTTCCACCGAAAATGAATTTTATTTTACGAAGCCTCGAAGTGCTGGGCGCAGAGTGCATGAAGAATGAGAGAAGAAACCAAAGAATAAAAGAAGGAATCAAGGAATGTAAGAAGGAATCAAGGCATCAAAGAAAGCCATAAGGTAAGTACCAGTACTGGGAGAAAGGATGGCACGTTCGAAGAGGGATCATCGGAAGACTTTCTCTTCGAACTGCCGAGCCACTGCGATACTCATCGCGATAAAATTCAAAAGACTTCTTCGAGCAGTACAACACTAAAATCTACGCAACAGCAAGCTGGCCAAACGCTCCAAGCAGTTCAACAACACTCTCCACAACACTGAGACATTCTCCAGTCGATCGTTTTATTCTCTTCTGGTTCAAGTCGCCGTACTCCAACGACAACTAATGTTTGTTACTTGTTGGTACGTAACCCGTCGTTGCGACAGCTGCGCTCTTTGGTTGGACATAGCCGGCCGTGCAAGTATCGATCAGCGCTGTGAATGTACAGTCAGTGCAGTGAGTGATGCATGCGCATGTACGAGTCGTACTGTACAGATCTGTTGCAAAACGATCGATCATCGACGCATCGCGTAGTATGGAATAGTACAAATTTCATATTCGCGTGTCAAACTTTCGCGATTCGACCCTGCTCGCGAAAGTCACGAAAGTTAATCGCTCGCGAAAGTTTGTCGTTTTACAGTAGTCCACAGCAGGCATTTCAAGACACAGCCAGTCTGCAGCAGCCATTGACACACCCAGTCTGCAGCAGCCATTGGAAGAGAAACACGGCAAGTCCACAGCAGCCTGAAAGAGCGAGTACAATGATATAAGAATAATGACCAATACCACACAAGTACAATGATATAAGAATAGTGAACACTAACACACTAACCACATGAACAGCGAGCAGTTCCTCCCTTAGTTTGATGACATTCCCCTTAGCACGTTTCATCTTGTTTGGATTGAGGCCGTCGTTATAGAGTGTGAACTCATTTCCCGTCAGGCTACACCTATGGACATGGAAATGCAAAAATGGACAAAAGAGAGTACCACATGACAAAAGAGAGTACGACATGTCGAACAACACACGATGTAACATATCGCAGTAAGATGTTTAAAAAGATTATCGTGTCCGCTCCTGAAGGAAACTCACGACCCCCGTTAGCACCAGGCAAACCGCAGCGGCAGATGTAGCCTCTAACTGTAACAGTTTGACCTTGACACTTCTTGCTTGTCTTATGGTAACACCTTGTGTTCCTACTATTTTCACTCCTGCGGTTCTCGCCTTTCTTTTGCTTTATAACCTCTGGTTTGAACATCATTCGGGGAATTCTCCAATCAATCAAGTCTATACTGTTACACTGGTAGCTTGAGGATGGTTGAGATCATCGTTTGCCCTTTGACGTGCCTTGTGCTCCTGGCCGCTACTGCTCTGCTATACGCCGCTTTCCGTGAGATCCGCCGCGCTCGGGACAGTTGGACGACATCAATTTCCTGCTACATCAAGCTCAAGTCCTCCGGATCTAGCCCCGTGTCGATCGCGTTCTCTCTCCCAGACAAGCCCGAGCGTCAAACGCGTTACCAGAGAACCGAATGTTTTCCATGGCAACCCTTCCGAGTTCAAAGAGTGGGTATTTACGGTCGAGTTAGCCTTGAAGTGCTCACCTCAAGGTGACCCGGAGAGCCAAGTTAACTTTGCGGCTAGCTACCTTGCTGGGAATGCGCGTCTTTGGCTAATTTCTTCCATGGAAGCAGGTGAGCAATTTTCGGATTAGCATTCTTTGAAAAGCGGTATGGCCCTCACTATGACGGGGAAAGAGTGCGGTTGGATATGTTCTCTATCCACCAACGTGGGTCAATTGAATCGTACGTAACGGAGTTTTCTCGACTAAGTTTACAGGTGCCGGAACTTGACAAACTCTCCAGAGCCTTGCTATTTGTCAACGGCCTGCACGGTAACATGCGGACCTTGGTAGTGAAGGAACACCCCACTACACTGTCAGCCGCCGTTCAGGCAGCGCTAGCAGTCGCCTCAGACAGCCGATTTCAGCGCAGACCACCGCTGGCGACCGCGCCGGGATTCGCACCACCATCAGGTAGCAGAAAGCTAACAAAACTAAGCCCCGAGGAACGTGAGACATTACGAGCCCAGGGGGGGGGGGGCTACTTCGCATGTCGTCGACCAGGCCATATGGCCCAGAATTGCCCGCAGCATCGAGATCACCCAAACGGTGGACGTCAGTAAGGCCGATGCGATTACTGACGCATCAAGAAAAGGCATCACCTGCGTGTAGTGTGTGCTCCGTCTCTACCCGTAACCGATTCAGTAGCCTCGCTGTGGAGGACGTTGACGATGATGTTGAATGCTCCGAAGCCAATTTCAAGCGAGATGTTACACCAACTATTGAGGCCCAGGTTACCAGCGTCAATGTGGAAACGGAACATGAGCTCCTGCGTGTAGAAGGCAAAATCAACGGTCGTCGCGCGCTTATGTTAATAGATTCGGGCTCGACCCATGATTTCATTGCCGAACAGTTTGCCAGGAGAGTTAACCTGCCAACCGAAATTGGCATGGAAAACCTGAATGTCACGCTGGCTGATGGAGCATCAAGCTCGTTTCCCATGGAGACGACCCATGAATTGAAGGTTATCGTAGGCGACTTCAGCGATAACCAAACCTTCACGATGTTCCCCCTTCATCGCTATGATGCTATATTGGGGAAACCTTGGTTAACGCGTAACAATCCAGACATAAACTTCCGGACGAATGAAGTCAGGTTGAACTCGAATGGTTTGCCTTGTGCGTCGCCCAGTCAAAGCGAACCGACCGCTCCTGTGGAGACGATGTTCATATCTGGTCGGCAGGCTAGGCATGCTCTTAGGAGTGGAGACGAAGGTGTTCTGGCGTGGGTCAGCGTAGAAGACGGCATTGGCAAGGAACCTCCCGACAAATCCACTCAGAACGAGCACCCAGATCTCAAGGCCATGTTCCGTGACTATGACGATCGTTTCCCGGATGATCTGCCAGCTAGACTCCCACCAAAGAGGTCTGTAGACCACGAAATCCGCCTGGAGGAAGGCTCTTCACCCCCATTGCGACCTGCCTATCGCCTGCCCAGGCCAGAAATGGAGGAATTGAAGAAACAGCTCACAGAACTCTTGAAAAAGGGTTTCGTAGAACCAAGTAAGTCCCCCTTTGGTGCACCGGTGTTTTTTGTCAAGAAAGCTGATGGTTCGTTACGCATGGTCTGTGATTGGAGGGAGCTAAACAAGATAACTGTTAAGAACAAGGCGTGCTTGCCCAATGTGGATGATTTATTCGATACCGTACAGGGCGCTAGGTACTTCACGAAACTAGACCTCCGATCAGGGTATAATCAGATTCGCATTCAAGCTGAGGACGTGCCCAAAACCGCGATTAACACTCCCTTTGGGCATTACCAATTTAGGGTCATGGGATTTGGTCTCACCAATGCACCGGCAACATTTCAATCCATGATGAATACGATTCTTCAACCATATCTGAGGGAGTTCGTAGTCGTGTTCCTAGATGACATACTCATCTTCAGCAAAACGTGGTCGGAGCATATGCAGCATGTCCGGTCGGTATTGAGCGTGCTCCGGGACAACCAGTTATTTTGCAAACGGTCAAAATGTGAATTTGGCGTGGAGAGGGTGCGGTTCCTGGGACATTGCATCGATGGACTGCACATCGCCCCTGACCCAGACAAGATTGCCGCAGTAAAGGTCTGGCCCGCTCCGACTTCCGTCACAGAGGTGAGGAAATTTCTTGGATTTACGAATTATTTTAGGCGATTCATAGATCAATACTCATCGCTCTCTAAGAACTTAGAGGAGATAACGGGAAAACATGCACGATTCGAGTGGAACAGCTCTCGGCAACATGCCTTTGAATCGCTAAAGCATGCCTTGTTGAATGCGCCCCTATGCGGCTGGCTGATGTGAACCGACCATTCAGAGTGGTAACAGATGCAAGCGATTTCGCCTTGGGATGTGTTCTTCTCCAAGAACTAGAGGAAGATGCCTGGCATCCAGTGGCTTATGCTAGCCGAAAATTGTCTGCTGCTGAACAGAATTATACAGCTACAGAAAGAGAAACATTGGCCGTAGTGTTTGCGCTAAAGACCTGGCGCATCTACCTCTTTCAACACTTTGAGGTCATTACAGACAACATGGCGGTAGTTTATCTGAAAACAAAACCAAGCATTACAAAGAGAGAGGCGCGATGGGTTGAGTTCCTAGCTGACTATGACTACACAGTCCGTCACATACCCGGCAGAGAGAACCCTGCAGATCCCCTTTCGCGTCGCCCAGATCTCCATGAGAGTAACCTCGTGGAGAATGCAGTACCACGTTTGAATGCTATTGAGTATGCTTTAGCAATGAATGATGACGTGTCCAATACAATATCAGATGCCTACCAGAAAGACAAAGAGCTAACTCCCATCATAGAAAGATTGAAGCATTCTCTCCGAGATAATTTGCATGATCGCTATTATTGGGACGAATCCACTGATCGCTTGTACCTCAAGGCACCCCCCAATAACCGGTTGTGCATACCACAGTGCGGTGTCTGGTTAAAGCTCATTCAAGAACACCATGAGTGTGCAACGGCTGGCCACCCGGGTCGTGATCGAACGTACTTCCGCCTAGCACGTTTTTTCTACTGGCCCCGAATGGGTCTCGATATCAAGAGATTTGTCAAAACCTGTGATCTCTGCCAGCGAACGAAGGGAGGTCAGCCACGAACAGGGCTTCTCCAGTCACTTCCAATACCTAATAGTCCTTGGCAGGATATCTCAATGGATTTTATTGTTGGATTGCCCCTTACTTCTCGTGGCTTCGACGCAATTTACACCTTTGTGGACCGACTTACGAAGTGCGTACATCTTGTTCCAACAAACGGGAAGATTGATGCTAAGGGCAGCGCTCAACTGTACATTCAAAACGTGTTTCGTCTGCACGGGCTGAGCTCGACCTTTGTTTCCGATCGCGATCCACGATTCACTGCAGCTTTTTTCAAAGAAGTATTCTCTCAGCTAGTAACTAAATTGGCATTCAGCACTGCTAACCACCCTCAAACGGATGGTTTGACAGAGAGAGTTAACCGGCAAGTGGGAGATGATCTAAGAGCATTTGTGAACTTGAGACAGGACAATTGGGATTCGCTTCTACCACTCTGCGAGTTTGCAATTAATAGTTCACAACAGTCATCTGTAGCTAATACACCGTTCTATCTGAACTATGGGTTTGACCCTAAGTCCCTGCCCGAATTCATTCTTACGGGAGGGGAAAGGAGTGATTCGGTCGATTGGCTTCATGAGCAGGAAGCCGCACTAAGGATAGCTCGAGATGCAATGCTTGACGCCCAGGCAAGGCAAGCTCTATACGCAGACCAGACGAGAACGCCCAGTGATTTGAAGGTTGGTGATAGCGTTCTTGTCTACAGAGACTTTCTACTGACCCCGGAAGCTCGTGGCCAGCCCTCTCGGAAGTTGCAACCCAAGTGGTTTGGTCCGTATCGTATCCAGGCTAAGATTGGCGCGAATGCTTTTCGCTTGGAACTACCCCGTGAACTTCGCTGCCATCCCGTGTTTAATGTCACTGCTCTTAAACGCTACGAAGAGAACACGATTCCTGGAAGACACCAACCCCCGCCTCCGCCCTTCACAGATCTAGATGGACACACACGCTATGTTGTCGAAGCCGTTTTGAATCACCGACACCGCAGTGGTGAGCAACACTTCCTGGTGCATTGGAAGGGTTACCCCAGCAGCGAAGCTACGTGGGAGCCCGCTGGCAACCTATGTGATGAGTCTGGTCGGAATATTAAACCGCTGCAGAACTATCTAGCCTCACAACGACAGCAGCCTTGATCTAACTGGACTGAGCCATATGCATCTCTTACTGAGATAGTTAACCCTTTAAGAGCCACAGGAAAATTTCAAAATTCTGCGTTTTTTCGTGTTCCTTGGATCATAGCTTCAGTTCTACTCACTCAATCCTCACAATCTAGGGCTTCCTGGAAAGGTCTCCGCGAGAGGAAGAGAATGAGGTCGATCATGATAGCCAGCACACCGTCTATCCAGCGCTAGATCGCAGCGACAGTACGAAAAATGCCCCAAATGCGTCCAATTGCGTCCCGCTCCAGATATTTCATTTTACGCGATCGTGGAGTTCCAATTTTTTCGCTGTGTACTCTTGACAATATCAACAGTGAAACCCGTGCAAATTCGAGTAAACCAGCGTGACAAAAAGTCTCAAAATTCTCAATACTAAAGTCGCACTGCGCGCTTTTGAAATTGCCGCGATCGCGGCTCAACTTACGAGTGATTTATCTCAGGAACCGTTGCTCGCAGCGCTTCGCGGATTGTTTCTCCCGACCGGTGAGAGTTTTCTCTTCGCCCTGGATATTTCGATCACTGGATTTGAGCGAGATTGGACTGAGTTACGATCTTTTGAAGTTTTGCATTTGAATGCGTCGTTTACGACGCATTCAAGTATGGGGCGGCTCTTAAAGGGTTAATAATAGGGGTGAAAGTTGGCACTGAGATCCCGAGTTCGAGTACTCTGATTTTCTCCGATCGAATATTCGAGTATTCGAGTATTCTTCATCTCCTAAAAATTGCACACCAAGGGCCTTAAAATCACATCATACAACCCTGATTGAACCAAGTAGCAGTCATTTTTCTCGGGTATATCGGTTCGTGGGTCATTTGGGCTCTCTCTACTCGTGAACAAATGTTCACCGCACAGTCTGCACCTCAATATCTGCCGACTGCTGCTCTGAAACTGCAGATTTCTGTGATAAATGCATGCACCATGTATGAACGAGTACTCCGATTTATTCCGAGTACGATTATTTTTGAAAAAACCGAGCGAGTACTCGAGTACTCGGTATAATTGTTTCACCCCTAGTTATGTTATAGACTGATATAGTTTTGCGTCATCTCCTTGTGAGAGTGATGGAGTTGAGTTGGATTACACTTCAATGTGGTTATGCATGTGCATGAGTGATTATTTAATATTCCCCTTTCCACAATTGCATCTCCTAACTGGATTGTGTTATCTAATAGAACCTTGGGCTTCCTATGGGGCCGGGAGAGTGTAATAGTTTTACCTTGACACTTCTTGCTTGTCTAATGGTAACACCTTGTGTTCCTACTATTTTCACTCCTGCGGTTCTCGCCTTTCTTTTGCTTTATAACCTCTGGTTTGAACATCATTCGGGGAATTCTCCAATCAATCAAGTCTATACTGTTACACTAATGCATGTGACATGTCACCTTAAAAGAATTACTACCGTCTCCGTTTTGGAGGGAACCAAGGACGACTGCTAACGTCAGTAAAATCCATATCACATGACACATGCTGCAAGTCTTATCAAAAGTATATAACCCTCAAGAGTGTACAACTGCCTGCACAACTAACCCCCAAGAGTGTACAACTGCCTGCACAACTAATCCTCAAGAGTGTACAACTGCCTGCACAACTAACCCTCAAGAGTGTACAACTGGCTGCACAACTAACCCCCAAGAGTGTACAACTGCCTGCACAACTAATCCTCAAGAGTGTACAACTGCCTGCACAACTAACCCCCCCCCCCCCCCCCCGAGAGTGTACAACTGCCTGGACAACTAGCCCCCAAGAGTGTACAACTGCCTGCACAACTAACCCCCAAGAGTGTACAACTGCCTGCACAATTAACCCCCAAGAGTGTGCAGCTGCCTGCACAACTAGTCCCCAAGAGTGTGCAACTGCCTGCACAACCTCTATGCAGTGCTGCGACAGCAGAATTTCACATAACGTGACATGGTTCAAAAGGTCACGCTGGCAAGCAGTGCTCTAAAGTGATCACAAGAGAGTTGAACGCAAAAGCACTGTGCTGCAGGCTTGCCTAGCACATCCTTGTACAGCCTAGCACATCCTTGTACAGCCTAGCACATCCTTGTACAGCCTAGCACATCCTTGTACAGCCTAGCACATCCTTGTACAGCCTAGCACATCCTTGTACAGCCTAGCACATCCTTGTACAGCCTAGCACATCCTTGTACAGCCTAGCACATCCTTGTACAGCCTAGCACATCCTTGTACAGCCTAGCACATCCTTGTACAGCCTAGCACATCATTGTACAGCCTAGCACATCCTTGTACAGCCTAGCACATCCTTGTACAGCCTAGCACATCCTTGTACAGCCTAGCACATCCTTGTACAGCCTAGCACATCCTTGTACAGCCTAGCACATCCTTGTACAGCCTAGCACATCCTTGTACAGCCTAGCACATCCTTGTACAGCCTAGCACATCCTTGTACAGCCTAGCACATCATTGTACAGCCTAGCACATCCTTGTACAGCCTAGCACATCCTTGTACAGCCTAGCACATCCTTGTACAGCCTAGCACATCCTTGTACAGCCTAGCACATCCTTGTACAGCCTAGCACATCCTTGTACAGCCTAGCACATCCTTGTACAGCCTAGCACATCCTTGTACAGCCTAGCACATCCTTGTACAGCCTAGCACATCCTTGTACAGCCTAGCACAGCCCGGCACAGCCCAGCACAGCCCAGCACAGCCTTGTACAGCCCAGCACAGCCCAGCACAGACCAGCACAGCCCAGCACAGCCCAGCACAGCACAGCACAGCCCAGCCCAGCACAGCCCAGCTCAGCCCAGCAAAGCACAGCAAAGCACAGCCCAGCACAGCCCAGCCTTGTACAGCCTAGCACAATCTAGCACGGCTAGAGGTTCAGCAGTATCTGGGGTTTTTCAAAGTTTCAGGGCACAGTAGGAGCAGAGCGATGCTGATCTCCACACATGCACATCCATCTCTACACATTCAATTTGCCAGTTGACAAGGGGATAGACTCAGTTTAGACAAATGAAAGATGTTGACAACATACCTCAGTTTGCCCAAATATAAAGCGGAATGTTTTAAGACAGGTCCTGGCGTCTTGCAGATAAGGAACTCTATGTGTGCGACTTTATGGTCCCTCTTTGCAGCTAATATGCAGGACTGTGACACAAACACACACACACACACAAACACACACGCACACATGCACACAAACACAC